TATATATATATTCAAAATCACGGGGCACGGGGTGAGAATTACAAGGTACGCCAGCAGTAAACTTACAGCCTGTATATAAACTAGTAGCAATGGATTTGTGTGTTCTATGCCGATGGTCCAAGAATCTCACGATCCTAGCAGGATATCTGTTCGGTACATACTCATAACTCAACTCGTTGGCTCCGCTTATGCCATAATGCATATCAAACGGATTTGGGGGTTCGACCCGATTTATTGATGTGAATGGAGAGTCTGTAGTGCAGATTGAACTACATCGCCGCGATAACAACAAACGCATACGTATGTAATGTACTGGTCTCAATATCAAGTGGCCATGTTCATCCCTGACAACAGATATTTCTAAATGTCACTCGAGAAAGGCAAGGTTGGACCCGCTCATGCCCAAGCGAGACACCTGTTCGTACACCCAACACCAAACTTGACACCGACACTGACGCCGATACAGTCTCAAAACCCGTCACGCCGCTCGGCAAACTCGGCCCCGACCACGAGCACGAGTAGTGGAGCATTTCGGTGCGGTCGCTGCACTGCCCGACACGTTCAGCGCGTCGGCTCTGCAGTGTTTCCGCTTCGTTGAAGGCAAGCAACTCATCGTCCACATATGATTATTGTACACGCTTCTGGTGAAGATAGACTGTTTCGTTTTCTCATATAGTCTCAAAGCAGAAGTACCCGATTCAGCCTAGAGCGACTCTGCAATATATTAAGGGATCTCTAGTGTAATTCTAGCGTTCACCAGGAAGTTCGGCGAAACCGTCCAATCACAGGAAGTAGTCGCTAACAGGTCTTCCGGCTTTGAAGGCATTGGCACGACTACTCAGCATTTCTCTGGCCCCCTGATAGATATGTATCAAAAACAATCGATTAGAATCAACAGATAGAAGGAAATGGTATATTCCCTACTTTATTTGGAATTCATTCCCGATTTAATTTAAATAGCAATCAAACTGCACCGAAATCGAAATATGTAGCAACCCGATAGATGATTCCCACTACTATCAGAAAATAGGAGTACAGGCTCGTAGCACGCAAACTATACAAACATAGATTAGAAGCCATTTGCCTCTGTTCTTCTGTCATATCTATATAAACATACATTAGAAGCCACTTGCCTCTGCTCTTCTGTCATATCTATATAAACATATATTAGAAGCCATCTGAATCTGCTCTTCTGTCATATCTATATAAACATACATTAGAAGCCATTTGCCTCTGCTCTTCTGTCATATCTATATAAACATATATTAGAAGCCATTTGCCTATGCTCTTCTGCCATGTATATACAAACATACATTAGAAGCCATATGCCCCTGCTCTTCTGTCATATCTATACAAACATACATTAGAAGCCATTTGCCTCTGCTCTTCCGTCATATCTATATAAAAATACATTAGAAGCCATTTGCCTCTGCTCTTCTGTCATATCTATATAAACATACATTAGAAGCCATTTGCCTCCGCTCTTCTGTCATATCTATACAAACATACATTAGAAGCCATCTGAATCTGCTCTTCCGTCATATCTATATAAACATACATTAGAAGCCATTTGACTCTGCTCTACTGTCATATCTATACAAACATACATTAGAAGCCATTTGCCTCTGCCCTCCTGTCATATCTATACAATCATACATTAGAAGCCATTTGCCCCTGCTCTTCTGTCATATCTATATAAACATACATTAGAAGCCATTTGCCTTTGCTCTTCTGTCATATCTATATAAACATACATTAGCAGCCATTTGTCTTTGCTCTTCTGTCATTTCGGCGGGAAAGCCCATTTTTTTGGCCATTGATGTGAAGAACATTAGGAATTGCTTTCGTCTCGTGGGTTCGTCTAGTATAGTGGTATTCATATTCAATACTGGGTGTCCCAGTGAGAGAGAGAATAGAATAACACAGGTACAGTGAGTAATTTTGAGTGGATGTGAGGAGAAGGAGAGCTGGAATACTAATTGCAGTATTACGATGGTCGTTTGCTTGGGGATGAACACATACAGGTGAGACTGAGATGTCAATGAATAATAATAAAAATAAGACTGAAACACATGAAATCGCTTATACTATCAACTATCCACAACAGATAATTGACAATTGCAATCGTAATATAAGTAACGAGTACGCAAATGCTGAACGAAATGCAAAACGTATAAACATATTTGATCTCACACAGTATAGACACGGGCAATGCAGAACCAGAATGTAGCATTGGCTCGATACATTGGGCCATGTGGCAGGGGTTACATGACAGGGCGCCACGAAACGTTAACGTTGCCACACGACTCAAAAAAAATGACAAAGGCAGCAGGATCCATACACACAGAGATGCAATTAATAAACGTGTGTGACATGCAGTACACCACAACACACACAACAACGAGCACAAGCGACCATTCAACTACAGAACTCATTTTTTAAACTCTAAACTCTAAAACCCTAAAGCCTCAACTATAGAACTCACTTTTCTTATCCTGGTCCCTCTGCGCCGAGTTCGCATCAATTGATTCCCAGCCAACCACGAGGTGTTAATGTACGTGATTGAATGAAGAAACAAATGTTAGTGGAGAGGAGTGAGTTGCAAGGCATGATAGACAATGCCAGGAGGCGCAACAAGATATAGATAAGAAGCACATGACATATGACAGTGTGTGAGCAAACCCATCAATACATATGTATAAATATACATAACTAGAAACGTACTTACGACGTATGCATGCATGCATGCATGTATGTATGTATGTATGTATGTATGTGTGTGTGTGTATGTATATATGTATGCA